GGGAAGGTGTGGCCTATTCTGTTGCTAGTAATGGGGTTGTGAGTGCAATGTTCACATTTCATTTTTGAAAACTTAGGCAACAAACAGGACTGGGTTCACAGTAGTGGTCCTCACTGCAACTTTGCCTCCCAGGGAACAATATGGTAATGTCTGGAGATATTTTTGGTTGCCATACCTTGGGAGTGAGGGGTCTATTACTGGCATCAAGAAGGAAGAGGCCAGAGATGCTGCTAAGCATCCTGTAAGGCACTGAACACCCCTGAAACAAGTATTATCCTGCCCAAGATGTCAGTAGTGCTACTGTTGAAATTCCCCAGTCTACAGGATATAGGTCATTAGCCACCATAGTTACTTGGAGCCAGAGTAGGCAGAATCCCAAAATGCACTCTAGGTCTCTGTCAGCCCTAGACAGGCAAGTCCCAAGTGTTGTGTTAGGATGAAGTCAAGATCCAGCACAGAGACTGAAATCACAGATTAAAGAACTTCACTGGTATTCCAATCTCACAACCATGGTTTTCCTGAGAACAAGGGCAGGAAGTGGGAGATCTTGCAGAGAAGTCACCACCCAACAGGGACCCTTTGAGGAAGAAACACAGGAAGTCTCTGGGGTTCTCAGCACTACATAGGCAACAGACTGTGATCAACACTATACCAGACTCAACCTAGAGATAACTAATATACTGGTGACCTCTCAGGATGCTGACCTAGAGCTTTGCACACAGTAAGTACTCAAGCCCCCAAGATGGTTGCTGGCCCTGGTGCCCTTTCCTCTGCCTGCTCAATCAAAGTAAGTTCCATAAATCTGAAATCTTCTGAGCAATACAATCCCAGCTACCACAAGACAAAGTTGGTGCCCTGAGGCAGACATATGTCTGATATAACTTTTTGTCTTTCCAAAGGTTTCTAGATTCTGTCTAAATCCTCTCTCCCCTTCTTGCTGCAGTCACAGCAGTCACTTCCTGGACAGATGGAACACACAGGTTAGTTACAGAGTCTTAAACTGGACCTTGTGGGCTGGGTCCCTTGGAGTCAGCCTGTTTTCTAGCAACTCCATTTTGCATGCCCTGCCCTTGCATGTGTAAGTCTCAGATCATAGAAGAGGACAAGTGCAGAAATGAACTCTGCTCAAGCATCCATGCCACCCTACTCTTTCTAAAGTGGGGGCAAACATAGGTGTCTCTCAGAGGGCTCTCAGATGGTTACGCCATCTCTTTTCCTAGCTAGAAGGCATCCCTTTGCTGGGAGGTGGGGAATGCTTTGCATCTGAATGTAAAACAAGGTAGGGACCGCCTACCGCCAGAGACCCAGTTGGGTTTCTCTGCCTTCTGTGCCCTCCCTCTTCTCTACTCTCCTATATGTTGCTTCTGTTCAGGGAAATGCATTTAAATGAAGTTCTCTGAGGCTCAGCCATGGTGGTGCATGCTGCTAAGATGCCATGTTCTGTAAATTGGGCCACATGGGGAAGCCTGAGTTTGATTCCTGGTCCAATCTGAAAGCAAGGCACAGTAGCATATGTCAGTACTGTCAGACTCAGAGAGGCTGGGGCAAGAGGAATGCATCAGTGAGACTCTCTGGGGAAAAAAATAAATTTTCTCAATACCAAAGGGAAGGATTAGTACTAGGAAATATAAATAGGAAAAATATAAGACTTTGACTTTAAGGACCTTTCAACTAGTCTCTTCCTGTTCTCGACTCCCTCCTAGACTTTCCAGCCTCTAGTAACCACTATTCTACTTTTTACTTCTACAAGATCAACTTTTTTAGATTCCACGTGTGAAAGAGAACAAGCTTTATCTTACTGTGCCTAGCTTATTTCACTAACATAATGTCCTCTAGACTCATTCATGAGGGCATGAATAACAGTATTTCATTATTTTTTATGACTGAATAGTATTCCATTGTGTGTGTATGTGTGTGTACGTGTGTGCAAGCATGCATATGCATGCATTGTATACTGCATTTTTTTTTTGTTTATTCATCTGTCGATGGGCATTTCAGTTGGCTCTGTATTTTGGCTATTGTGAACAGGGATAGAATAAACATGGGAGTTCGGATAGCTCATTAACATACTGATTTCCCTTCCTTTGGCTAGATAATCAGTAGCGGGATTGCTAGGTCATAGAGATACAAAAATATAGCTAGATAATGGAGTTCAATAACACCATAGGGTGAGTGCATAGAACAAGAATTTACTGCATACTTCCAAAGAGCTAGAAGATTTTGAATGCTCCCGACACAAAGAAATGTTGAATGTTATGGATATGCTAATTACCTTGATTAATTATTACAGATTATATACATGTACCAAAAAAGAAAATCACACCATGCCCTATAAATATGTATAATTATTATTTGTCAGTTAAAAGTTGGGGGCCAGATGGTGGTATAGCAATAAAATAAGACATTCTGTGAGGCTGACCCACATGGGAAAGGTTCCAGGTTTGTGTCAGGAGACCTCCCTGAGTATGCCAAGCACATATGTGCCCACCATCTGGGACTGACTTAAGCTGAAGGTGGATCATGGCATCACGATCCTATTGGGGGTGCTGTCTTTCTCTTTCTGTCTCTCTTGATCATTGAAGTGGAAGAAATAAATAAACTTTAAAGTTAGGAATTAAAAGAAGGTAATTAGAAAAGAAAGATATTTTACGGCCAGGGAAAGGGAGTAGGTATCCTGCCCTGGGCCTTTGGTTTCAGGGACCACCAGGAACTGCTAAAAAGAAAGAGTCCCATGGGTATCTTGAGGGAAGAATTAAATTCAGACTGGCAGAGTTAGAGGAAGCCAACATATTATCAAGTTCACCCCTCTTGCTACACTCATAGGAAAACAAAGGCCTAAGATCCTATTAGGGATGACAATGAATAACAAGAACTAACTGAGTCTCTCCACAGGATACTTGTATTAGACAAAATTTCAGAGTCATGCAATCTAGTTGGGGAAACTGAGTCCACCAGCTTTCACATATTACCAGCTTGAGAACCATCAGAGTAATCAGCTTCATTCATCATAAAGGTCCTTAAGCTTTACTCATAAACTCCTGGGTCCACAATCTGGGTACCTGTTATGCTTTGAATATGGTTTGTTCCCACCAAAACCCATTTCGAGGCTTGGTCCCTGTTGTCATGGTGTTAAGAGCTGCTGAGACCTTAAAGAGGCATTAGGGTCATGAGGAATCTGCCCTCATGAAGGGATTAATGCCATCTTGAGTGAGTGAGTGAGTTCTTGTTCTCTCAAGATTGAAATAGTGATCTTTCAGGATTGGGACCAGCAGTTAGCATAATGGCTATGTTACTGGACTCCCACGTAGTCAACCGCGGTTCGTGTCCCAGACCCGGTGGCTTAAAATCACGCCGGGCGTGTGTGCGTGCGTGCCCAAGATCCTAAGAGGAGAACGGAGGAGAAGGGACTGCAGCGTGGCCATCCCCCCTGGGGGGTGATTTCTCGCTTTCTGTCTCTCTGTCTCTGTCTGGCGAGTGCACGCGCCCTATAGCAAAAACCTCTCAAAAAAAAAAAAAAAAAAAGATTGAAATAGGAAGAAATCTCTTTTTTTAACTTGATCCCAAGAAGGAGATAATTGAGTTGAGTCTTGAACAAGCTTGAACTCACGCCGGGCACATGTGCATGCATGCCCAAGATCCTGAGAGGAGAATGAAGGAGAAGGGATTGTGGTGTGGCCACCCCCACAGGGGTGATTTCACGCTTTCTCTCTCTCTGTCTCTCTCTGTCTCGCTAGTGAGTGCACATGCCCTGTAGCAAAAACCTCTCCAAAAAATAAAAAGAAATAGTTACTGCAAGAACCGGCTGTTACCATGCAGAGTTGCCCCTTGTGTCTTGCCTCTTTTGCACTCACCCATCTGCCACTCTTCCATGCACTCCTACCATATGATAGCATCTGCCATGTTATAATGCAGCATGGGGCCTTGTCAGATGCAGCTGCCAATCTTGAACGTCTCAGCCTCCAGAACCATGAGCTAAATAAATCTCTTTTCTTTATAAATTACCCAGTCATAGGTAATTCAAAAAAAAAAAGAAAAAAAAAAAAACCAGAAACCAAACTAACACAGTACTCATGGACCCAAACAAAGAGAAAGCTAAGAAGTTATTGTCAGTACTATAGCCTCTCAATTTAAATTGCCTTCAAACTTCTTTCCCTCAAGCATGCCAGTCTGCTATTTGGGGCTAGTGCAAAGTCAGTTTCTGATAGCATATAGGAAAGATGCATACCCAGGCCTTGGGCCTCTGGTGTTTCCAGCTTGGAAGCCAGAAGGGGAGGAGTTGACCCAAGATAGAACTGCTTAATAGGCCTTACCAGGAAGCATAAGGGCTGCTATGACTCTAGAAAGGGTTGGTAATGAAAAGTGTCATCACAAAGCCTCTTCTTGCTAGGAGATAAAGCTTTCTACATAGTGCCATGCTTGATCTCTGCAACCCACTGGAGGAATGGCCTGACCAAGGGCAGCAGGATGGAGAGTGAGGAATGCGGACCTTGGCAGCCAGACAGCAGAGTTGATAGGAAGTAAAGAGGCCCTATGGCTTTCCTTCTTGTGTGGCAGAATGCACATGTACTGTCATAGGAAGGGTCTCTCTCAATGACAGAAGAGGTCATTAACCTGACTGCCCGAGGGTCTGTCCAGCCTGTATGCCCCCAACACTCTGAAACCTGCCAGGGAAAATGGACTTTGACCATTTGACCATTAGTGTTTTTAGTCCTCCATGATTTCATGGCAAATGTCACCACTGGGTAATCACCAAGTGTGAGGGCAGGTGTAGGTAAAGTGAGTGGCTTTGGCATGGCTCACAGTAATAAGCAGGAAGCAACACATACAGGATAAATTACTATATCATAATCCCTTTAGTGTCCAACCGGCAGCAAATGGTTTTTCTTCCCGATCTTGGCTGTGCTCCCTGCACACGATGGGCACCCTAATCAAGCTTGTTGTTGATCTGTCATGGCAACAGGGAGGGGCAAGAGTAATGGATTAGGAGAAGGAAAAAGTACCTCAAATGGCGAGTGTCCGGGACAGCCCGATTGCTGGAGATCCGCTCACTCTCCCGCTGGTTGAAAGCATACAGCTTATAGGGATCGTCACCAACGCGCCACTTTTTAGCGTTCAGATACCGCCGCTCATCAAACTGGTCCCACAGGTCATCCCAGTCAGCATCAGAAGGCTGTGTGACATGAATGAATGGGAAGTCTGTGAGAATAGCTCCTGTCCTTCACTGGCCCCTCTGTTCATCTGTCACCACCCAACCAGAGACTAGGTTCATTCTGGCAAGGTTTGCCTTGACAATCAGGTCAGAGCAGAACCTTAACGAAACCATCAGCAATAATAATAACCAACAGACAATAATGGCTGGCACCATTTACTGAGGACTATACACCAAGCACTATATACTGGTGATTATTACCTGTAATTCTCAAAGCAATTCTTTGAGATGGATATTGCTCATATTCCCATTACACAGATAAGAAAACAGCTTCATTTGGAGAGTGCCCTGCTTATAATTCCATAATTAGGAAGTGGTAAGGATGGAGTGTGAATTCCAGTAACCCAACCCCAGAGGCCATCTTACCAGGGCAACTTGAAAACACTTGGCCTACAAGTGCTGATATACAGTAGGTACACAATGCTCCCCTGCTATCATAGGAAAGGCAGCAACAGAAGTAGATGATCCATCTATAATAGTGTGCTACACACAGACACCTGCCAGTTCCCTTTTTCCTCCAACCTAGGCATCTGCCATTAGCTTCAAAGAGCATCAATGGAGAAGTGAGTTCACTGTATGTGTATACAACCCTTTAAAAGGTAGAAGGCAGCGACCAGTAATGGCTGTGTCACTGGACTCCCATGTAGTCGACCACAGTTTGAATCCCAGACCCGGTGGCTTAAACTCACACTGGGCGTATGTGCATGCATGCCCAAGATCCCGAGAGGAGAATGGAGGAGAATGGGTTATGAGGTGGCCATACCCCCTAGGGAGTGATTTCTTGCTTTCTGTCTTTCTGTCTCTGTCTTTCTTGAGAGGGCATGCACCCTATAGCAAAAATCTCTCCCCCACAAAAAAAATGTAGAAGTAGAAGGCATGATATTTCCTTCTCACCACAACCCTCTGAGCTAAGGGGGAAGGTGAAGCTCCAAAAAGTTTACTGGTATGTCTGAGTCTGCATAGGTGGAAAGTGGCAGAGCTGACAACCTAGACTGACCTACTGCGTTCCTCCAATAGGAGAGGCTGGGGATATCTGCCAGCCAAGCACAGGCTTCCTGGTCTATCCTGCCCAGACCAGCTCCACAGCCAACAGAGGCCATCACACACTCAACAGGAGAACTGGGCTTTGGTGGCCACTTCCCAGTGGGTGTTGGCACATTCATCCCAAGAGAAGATCCAATCGGTGTACAGACAAGCTCAGACTTTTTGGGTTCACTCAAACCATAAGACACTATATCTCTAGGAGGAACCAGGTGGTTGAGTTCTGATTTGTAACATGAGGGCTGCTGTCAGGGTCTGACACCATCACTGAGGATAAGATGCTCGTTCATATGATATGACCCCAGGTATCATGCAAGAGTTTCAGTCCTGGGCTACCCTCCCCCAACCATTCCCAACACAGAGCAGAAGGCATTTTCTACACTTGAGAAACCTGACCAGGAAAGCTAGGGCAGCTCAGCAGACAGCGACTAGGCACTTGGCTTGCAGCCCACATGGCAGGTAAGGGGCCACTTGCCAATCTGCACATTCATCTCAGACACCATGGAGATCTTATCCAGTAATTGATCTCCCTCTCTCTTTGTTATCTTTCTTTGAAACAGCATTCTCCAGCTAATAGCACAAAATGGAGCTTTGGAAACCAGCGATTTTTATCCAATAATTGATTTTATTAATGTTCTGTGATACTGCTGCTACAGAATCTGTTAAGGGGAATTTGGGCGGGGGTGTGAAACCTCCAGCCTGTGCTGTGTAATGTCATGAGCTGACAGCTGTCACCTCTGGTTGGAACATCACCCCAGGGTGACCTTGATATTCCATTCTCATGGGAAGGGCTATGGAACCATTTCCTATTGGCTTGTTTTCAATTTAATTCATTGCAATTCTCTAAATGAATTGTGAGCCCTTATAGTGCTCCAAGCTAGGAAGTAAGAATGTGGAGATGGAAGACTCCTGCCCTCGAAGGGGTTGTATTGTTGCAGAGAGACATGCATTGGGACACCTGCAACACACCATGAAGGTGAGTTCAATTACACAAGCTCAATGACAATGCTGTGCAAGCACAGAACACTGACGGAAAGGAAGATAGCTCCTTAGACGATGTACTAAATGAGTTAGATCTTGCAGGATGAGTAGTGATTTTACTTTGCTTAAGGGAAGATAGGAAAGGGAAATAAGTATATAGCAAAAAGTCAGATAAAAGGCAGTATACTAGTCATGATTCTCTAGAGAAAGAGAGCTGAGTGAGAGAGAAAGAGAGAGAGAGAGAGAGAGAGAAAGAGAGAGAATGTGTGTTTGTACATACATAAAAGTAGATAAACATTTATATACAAAGAACTTTATTTTAAGGAGTCACATAGGTGATCATGGAGGCTGACAAATCCCCAAATCTGTGTAGTTATGCTGGAAACCCAGAAAGACCTGATGTTTCAGTTTCAGTCCAAAGGCAGGAAAACAGCCAACATCCTAGCTCAAAGACAACCAGGCAGGAGTTCCTTCTTAACATTTTTGTTCTATGGAGACTTTCAACAGATTCCATGGGGCCCACACACACTGAAGAGAGAATTTGCTTTACTCAGACTACCAATTCAAATGTTAATCTTGGCTCAGCCTGCGACTTAATAGTTAAGGTAGCTGTATCCCACATGTCCAACTACATGGTTCAAGTCCTAGGCCCAGTGACTTGAGACATGCCAGGTACCCAAAATCCTGAAAGGAAGGAGAGATAGAGGAGAAGGGATTATGGTGTGACCATTTCCCCATGGTGGTGAGGGATGCTTTCTCATTCTCTCTCTTTCTCTGTCTCTCCCCAGTGAGTGGCAATTTTTAAAAAAATATTCATCTCACCCATAAATGCTTTCACAGACACACCTAGGATAATATTTGACCAAATATCTGGGCACCCTGTGGCCTTGCCAAGTTGACATATAAAATGAACCATCACAGACTGGAAGTCCTAGAAGAATCTACACAAGCTAACCCAGAAATGGAAAGGGAAAAATGAAGATTCCAAAGAGTACATGAGTTCAAGAAAACTTGAGAACGCAGCTGGCTTTATATGAAGCAGGTCATGAATAAAGCATCTTTGGTGACACATATAGGAGGTAGTGGAGAGAAAAGAACTACTACAAGACTGGATAGGAAGTAACATCAGTAATCTAGCCTGATGGGAAGAAACACCTGAACCGGGGCCTTGCTGGGTGCCAAGGGAACTATTCCATTCATCCACTGTAGAAGCAGGGAAAGGGGCAGGCACATATGTCTGACTCAGGAGGATGAGAAAAGGGATTGTAACCAATCTCTTGGCCTCATTCCAACCCCCTACTTTTATTCACAACAAACAGCGGCACAGAGACAAGAGGAGGCCAGGCTGGTGATTTGGTCAGTCTGATTACTGAGTACCCCTAGCTTCCCTGACAGAAATTACCATGTTGGAGATGGTGCTATGAGAACTCATCCAGGACTCTGGCCTCCAGAAAACCAGAGAAACAGCCAGGCTGGCAAGAGAAAGCATGTGAACTGTCAGTCAAGAGTGTCCTTGGAGGGGACCATTACGTTAGATTGTCATGGGTACAGAGATCACTCAGTTTGCTGCACTGAAACCCACTGAGGGAAACAGCCTGTACTGGCAAGACTGGTTTTTCTAAAATGATATCTAAATGTGTTAAATAACAGTGAAGATGTGTTTAAAATAATAACACTAACACTGGAATAGCATTTTATATTTTACAAAGCAGTTTGCATATATAATGTCACAGAATCTTCATATAACCACTGTTCATGCTGAAGGGATCATCTTAGAGAGGTTAGGTAGCTTCTCCAAGAGGTTAGGTTACTTCCACCAACTAGTAAATGATAGAACCACTGATTAATCCTTCTAAAGAGCCTTCCAAGGGACAGGAAGAAATAAGAATGTCTCCTTTGCTATGAGCTAATGAGCAGAGAAAGATTCTTTCTTGAGGACCCTAGGACACCATGTCAGGGGCAAAAAGGGGCATGCCCATAGGAATGCCAATGCTCTTCCCTGCCTGTTCTAAGAATAGAGCTGGCAGTAGCTTCAAGGGGTTTCTGAAGGAATGCTGACTTTGCTTTGTACTTCTAGTCATGGTGGAAGTTGATGTCCAAGCTCTTCAATCCATGAGTCCCCACATGGGAGGCCGAATGTGAGGTTGTCTTCAAGGCCTATCCTGGCCACCCAATAATAGGACACAGGCCTCCTTCCTGACTCTGCATGGAGCCATTGTAGAAGCTTGTTCCCATGTTATGAATTCCCTACTTTCTGGCTTATGTGAACAAACAGGGAACATCCATTTCATGCTCTACTTCTTTGGGTTCATATTTTTTAGATTCCACATATAAGTGAGGCAATTTTCCAGCCTTTAAAAATCTGGAAGGCCAGTCAGTAGCATGTAGTAACACAACTGGACATACACGTGTAGGTCCCTGGTTCAGATCCTGGTGACTCCCTATATATACCAGGCTTACTTGCATGTTCCTGTGATCCGGGTTGGCTGAGGCTGGGAGTGGATCACAGCATGAAAACATGAGTGGAAAATAGACTCAGTTTTGAAACCTAACATAAGGGAAGGATACACAGCAATTTCAGAGCCAAATAATAGTCTTAAAGTGAGAATGAGAGAAAACAGGCCCAGAAAAAGGATGGAGAAAAGAGAAGTCAAGAGTCTCACAGAAGCTCTGTGATCCGGGTTGGCTGAAGCTGGGAGTGGATCACAGCATGAAAACATGAGTGGAAAATAGACTCAGTTTTGAAACCTAACATAAGGGAAGGATACACAGCAATTTCAGAGCCAAATAATAGTCTTAAAGTGAGAATGAGAGAAAACAGGCCCAGAAAAAGGATGGAGAAAAGAGAAGTCAAGAGTCTCACAGAAGCATGATGAGAGGAAAGAAATTAAACAACTTAACAGATGTACTATTGAGCTTCAGTTTTTTTTTTTTCCTTTCTTTTTTTAGATTCTTTCTTATCCTGAACTGTCTCTGATCTTTAATGGAAGTTCTCAGAGCTGCCTCTAATAATACTGCTAACACATTGGAGGGTACATACATGTTATACAAAAATTTACATTTAATCTTCAAAATTATTGGGACTAGCAGTTGTTGTAATGGCTATGTCACTGGACTCCCATGTAGTTGACCACAGTTCAAGTCCCAGATCCGGTGGCTTAAACTCACGCCAGGCGCATGTGCATGCATGCCCAAGATCCCAAGAGGAGAATGGAGGAGAAGGGATTGCAGCATGGCCATCCCCCCTGGCAGGGTGATTTCTCGCTTTCTCTCTCTCTCTCTCTCTGTCTTTATGGCAAGCACACATGCCTCATAACAAAAAACTCTCCCCCAAAAATTATAGAATTGCCATTCTATAATTGGGGGAACAGGCATGGTAAGATTGAGTACCATGCCCACTGTCACGCATCTGGTAAGTGCTGGAGCCAGGATTTGAACCCAGGCAGCCTAGGCCTCATCAGTGGATGGTACTGCCTTTTCACAGCCTTACTGTCATGTTCTTGAGGCATTTTTAGACTATGTACACATTTCCCATAATTTTTTTCCCATCAACTCTTCTTTGGGGTACGTTCCATTTTTAATGGACACCTGCTCCCCTTTCACCATCATCCATCAATGCTTCACTCTCACTCTTGAAAAATCCTTTTCCCAGCAGTGGGCTTTGTTCCTAACGGTCAGGGCAAGAAAAGGCAATATCCTGCAGACAGATTCCTGCTAGGCTAACAGAATATGCTAGGCTAACACAGGAGAATGTGAGAATTGAAGAAAGTATTGGGACTTCTCATTTAACGATAATATAGTTTATCTATCCACCCTCTGTTGGAAACTCCAGTGCAACATTCCACTGCCCAGTGGGCATTCCTATAATTCCAGCTAGTGATATAGATGTCCCAAGTAAGCCTACTCCAGCTTTCAGAGGAGTGCAACTTCTAGATGCTTTCTTCTTGTATTTAACAAGACTCTCTCTCCTGGTAATAATATTTCCCTTTCAGACATGACTTTACCCTTATGGCCAGTTGATACTCATCTCGTCTTTCTTTTATACCTTTCAATTATTTTGTGACAGTTATTGTGTTTCCAGGTCTTCCAACCCCTGGTATCATCATATGAGACTTGCAACTCAGAACAACAAATACAGAAGAGTGTAAAACAGGACCAAAGAGCCAACTTGTTCACCAGCTGAAATTAGATGGGTTTAGCAAGTAAGTCAAACCCTGTGGCAATGCTTCTATACATGAGGTATGAGGGGGAGACACAGCCCACTATGTGGGATAACTTTTGTTTTAATGTTTCCTAGAAAACACACACTGGTTGCATATACGTGCATGCCCAAAATACCAAGAGGAGAATGGAGGAAAGGGATTGTGGTGTGGTCATCTCCCTAGGTGGTGATGTCTCACTTTTCCTCTCTGTGTCTTTCTCCTCTCTAGAGAAAGCACACAGTCTATGGAAAAAAGAAAAAAAGAGAGAGAGAAGAGGAAGAGGAAGAAGAAGAAGAAAAAGAAGAAAAAGAAGAAAAGAAAAATGAAGTGCTATAAAAATGTTGTGTCTATATACCTCAGAGAGAAGTAATGAGTAAAGCGTGCCTCAGATTATTTCTAATCCTCATAAACCTATTATACAATAGAAAATTGTACTCACAATTTTCAAAGAAACCAAGGCACTGAGAAAATAAATGATTTGCCCAAATTCAAGCAAGCATCTGTCTCCCCTCTTTTCAATAAACTCAGTTTCTAAGCAGCAGTGAGGCACTAGAACACTCATCCACATGCCTCCAGGCTGTTTCCAGAACCACTGTCTCTGGCTTCCACCAACTCTGTCTCCCATCTGCTGAAGGTTCCTGCTTGCAGCGCTGGAGGCTCCTGCTTGCAACACTGCCGCAGACCAGATATTCCCATGCAAAACTATAACTAGTTATAGTTAGTCTTCATGCTAAACTATAACTAGAGCATAAATTATAACAAGCATGGTTTTTGGTTCACTGCTCGGCTTTCCAGAAGGAAAATCTTCAACATGAAAAGAGGGTGAGGCCAGGAAAAAATACAGGGTGTAGAAGCTAGAGCTGGTGTAGCTAAATGGTAAGCAAAGATAAAACGTCAGGCTTCCTTGAGGGCAAAGGTCATTGAGAAATTAAACCTTGGTTCCCAAAAGGTAGAAAAGCAAAACCAGAGTATTCCATAATTAAGCCCAAGAAGGGGATAAAACAGCCCAGATCAGCTTAAACGTAAATCCTACCTGGAGAAAAGCATCTCTAATTTGGGCCCTCAGGATTTCCACAAAACTCACCAAAAGATGAAATCACAATAAAAAATTACCAGACACAGCAGGAAACAAGTCACTATAAGTAACAATCAGAAGAAACTATAAACAACAGGTTTAGTGGACTTTAGATATAGGAATTTTCAGATACAGATTAAAACATGACTGTAGGTAAAATATTTAAAATATTAATTTTAAATTAGCAAAGAACAAAAGGCTAACAAAAATAATGGTCAGGTAGAACTGAAAAAAAAAAAAAAAACCTAAACAGAAGTTTTAGAAATGATAAGTATGATGATTGAAAGTCAGCACCAAGCAGGCCAAATACAACATTTATGATCTACAAAGCATTTTCTCATTTTTATTGCCCTTAGGAAGTAGGCAAGTCAGCTATATTATTCCTATTTCACAGATGAGAAAACAGGGTGGGGAATCACCTAGGAAGTTTTCTACTGAGTCCTCGATCCCAGGATTTTGACTTCAAACCTGTGTTTCCTCCAAATCACCAGATGTTCCATTCATCCACAAGGCTACTTTTTTGCCCTTCCACCTAGCCACAAAAATACATTATCTGCTCACCCTGTACTCTTCTGTTGCCCAGCCAGCTTGGAACTGACCTTAATTTTCCAAGGCCAACCAAGAAGGGAAGCAGTATGATACTCTCTCATGACTCTAACATTGCTAACTTAAGTCCTACCTTCAGTGAATGGCCTGAGAAAGGAATGACTGGGTAACAGACTTCATCCCAACATGAAGAACAAACACAAATAAATAAGGAGGGGCAACTAGCTCTTTGCTCTCTCGAGCTCATGACAACAGAAAGAGCTGGAAAATCCTTTTCCCTCACCTAGGGATCACACATCAATTTTGGATTATTAGATAAGATCTTCATTTTAATACTTCCTCCATGTATTATCACCTCTTCCTCTCACTGGAATTCTATCTTGGGAGTTATTTAACTGATGTGCAGAAATCTAAATTTAATTTATTATGATTTAACTCACTTTAGAAGCCAAATTACCCTGCACTGGAGAAGGATCAAGTCAATATCCCACTTGGCTTTCTATTTATCTTCTGCAGGGTTTTCTCTCCTTCTCTTTAGTATTCATTTTATCTCGGGTGCTGGTAATAAATTTAAATTTTTCTCAGAATTAGGCAATTGCTTCTTCAATGTTGTAGTTTAATGGTTAGTATTAATTATACGAAAGACACTCCTTAAAGAGTTTGATAGATAGAATGGACATATAATAGAGAAGGAAAGGGCTATTTCTCACACCAAATGAGCTGGCGTATAATTCAACAGGGATGAGTTTACTTTTCTATTTTCTATTCTACCTCCTCTTGCCTCTTTTCCCCACTGTTCTCTCCACCCTTTTTCCTCAACATCCAAGTGCCTAGAAAATGAGTCTGCCAAGAGTTGTACCACTGTGGCATTTCAGAGTCCCTGGAAGGTCTCCCAATGGGGACACCAAGCCTAGCCCCCTCGCTAGTGCTAGCTTTTTTTCTCCATTTAATTGCAGTCCCATTTGGTCGAGGACAACAAAAGTAACCACTGCCTAGCTCACTCCTCCCCACCTCTGGCTGCATTTCTGCACTCAGCTCAATATCACAATCGTACACCATATGCAGACAACTTTAGGGATGCTTCCAGCTTTCTGGAAGAAGAAAAGTTCCAATAATTATTATAATTGCCTGAAAATTCCAACTGTGAAATATAATATGATTAACAGAATGGACAGAAGCCCAGTTTTTGTTTTTAGAATAGAAAAAAAAAACCTCACAGGATCCAGACATTATATGGATATTAATGTGCTTCCAAATTAGCATGAGAAGGAGGTGCCAGAGAAGTCTAAGTCAGCACAACTGGGGGTGAGGACCTGGTTCACAGGCACATGCCAGGAAGCGTGAGCTCTAATGCTCATGCTTCTGCTTCCTGCCTATCAGCACCCTATATATTACACCACCAAAGACTAAACCCAAATGTAGATAGGTATCTTGAATCACTTGTCACTTGATTGAAGAACGTGTTCCAATTGCTGGTGGAATAAAGACTGAAGGGCTGGTCCTACCCAGGACACTGATTTCTGAATCTGCTTCTTTTTGTATTCAGAGACAGGTGCAGTAAGCTAATGATTAGAACGGAGAAGCCTTGGACTCTTCCAAATCTGGCACCCAGAGAACAGGAGATCGAGGAGGCAGGTGTCCACATGGGGTTTAGGAGAAAGATTTGATGGACTGGATGGTGACATAGAAGGATGAATTTGTCTATAACCAAGAGACCAATGCTGGAAATGAGCATGCATTGAAAGTTGGAACCAGCACCCAGGAAAGGCCAAGGACAAGAACTGGACATTGGAGGAGAAGAGTCAGAAATGGCTCCAGAAACGGGGCTTCCAGCTGGGTGGGGCTGGATGTTGAAACCTGTTGTCTTTGGTGCATACAGCTGAGTCATCTTGGGCGCAAGGTTATCTCGTCAATTGAGGATGGGTATGTAACAGTGATGCTGCAACCATCAATCAGGAATGGACAGAAGCCCAGTTTTTGTTTTTAGAATAGAAAAAAAAAAACCTCACAGGATCCAGACATTATATGGATATTAATTTGCTTCCAAATTAGCATGAGAAGGAGGTGCCAGAGAAGTCTAAGTCAGCACAACTGGGGGTGAGGACCTGGTTCACAGGCACATGCCAGGAAGCGTGAGCTCTAATGCTCATGCTTCTGCTTCCTGCCTATCAGCACCCTATATATTACACCACCAAAGACTAAACCCAAATGTAGATAGGTATCTTGAATCACTTGTCACTTGATTGAAGAACGTGTTCCAATTGCTGGTGGAATAAAGACTGAAGGGCTGGTCCTACCCAGGACACTGATTTCTGAATCTGCTTCTTTTTGTATTCAGAGACAGGTGCAGTAAGCTAATGATTAGAACGGAGAAGCCTTGGACTCTTCCAAATCTGGCACCCAGAGAACAGGAGATCGAGGAGGCAGGTGTCCACATGGGGTTTAGGAGAAAGATTTGATGGACTGGATGGTGACATAGAAGGATGAATTTGTCTATAACCAAGAGACCAATGCTGGAAATGAGCATGCATTGAAAGTTGGAACCAGCACCCAGGAAAGGCCAAGGACAAGAACTGGACATTGGAGGAGAAGAGTCAGAAATGGCTCCAGAAACGGGGCTTCCAGCTGGGTGGGGCTGGATGTTGAAACCTGTTGTCTTTGGTGCATACAGCTGAGTCATCTTGGGCGCAAGGTTATCTCGTCAATTGAGGATGGGTATGTAACAGTGATGCTGCAACCATCAATCAGGGGCAAGTGTGCAAGAGAAGGGAAGGTCAATTCCAGGATGGCCCAAAAACATGGCCAGAGTAGCCTCCAGCAGGAAGGCTATTCCACTGAAAATTACTTCTAGGTGAGGGGAAAACAAACAAAAATGGGTTAAAAACAGGATTTGGATTTCTCAATGACAGAAAGCTCTCCCTCTAAAAGTCAGACCTCTCTTTCTGCTTGCTATATTGGAGCAAGAAACAGCACAAGGCATCATCGAAAAGCTGTTCAGCTGCAAGAAATAGCTACGGGAACACTTTTCAAGGGTTCCAACTGAACCAAGGTACCTAGCAGGAGTCACAAATAAGCAGCCCTAGGGTCACCAAGAACTGTGAGTAAGAGCGATATGTACCACACAGTGTACCCAGTCGCACTGTTTGAAACCTTAATGGTTAGTATACATAATAGTTACTATTAATGGTTAATACTAACCATTAAACCGTGAGCATGAAACAAAACATGCTCATAGGCTATATTTGGCCTACAGACTGCCAAATTGTGACCCCCTTGGAATACTGACAGTAAAAGAATAAAAGGAAAAGAGTAAAGAAAGACAGCAAAAGGAAGAATCAAACTAACAGAAAAGTGATCATAGGAAGAATAATGTGTTTGTGACTTCTTTTTCCCTTCAAGGGCCCTTTATTCATTTCAACCTAATTTCAACTGGATAGAAATGTGCTGGAAGAGTGTTTGTGTATGAGGAAGAGGAGATGGGAGTCCCCAGAATGACCCTATAAATCCAGAAAGTCACATCCTGAGCTTGGCTCTGCTTAGTACATCCTTTTAACCTCTTGTAGTCAGTTTTTTCTTCTCCTCAAAAGGCAATACTAGTCTTCACCCCACCCAGTTTTACAGGCCCAAATTAGATCTTGGAAA